TTAGTAAAATATAAAAGTACTACACAAATAGCACAAAACACAAAATAAATTTTATTACTAATAGCATGATAAACCCATTTAAGTATATTGAGACATACTTAACAATTTGTACTTTAAACATACTCAAGAGTCACATCTAGCAGCCTAGTGTTTCATCGTCAGATTGGCTAGCTGTTTTTACTGAAACAAATAAGAACTGCAAAAATTTACCTAAAGTAAGCAAAGGCCTATCTAAATATCTACATAGAACCATGCCTCCAAAATATCTGAAATTTTCCAACAAGAAAGTACAGGTCATTCAGCAAAATATATTTACTGTATACTACCATAATAGCTATTTAATTGTTATCATTATGATGCAGATATATAATGGAAACAGATGTTCCTTTTTCCTTTCAGCAAAGCAAAGGAAAAGCATAAACTTGCTGATATTGCATAGACTACTACCATAGCACAATAGAGGAAAAAAAGACATTAGCACATGACAATATTAGTTTTTACTACACAACTAATTGCATAAAAAGTATAACTTGAGGTCATTGAATCAATATAATTTTCAGCACTACAGAAGAGAAACAAATAGATTTGTATAAGCAGCCTATTTCACATCTGCAGTTGGGAAAATACTTCTGACAGATTAAATATATGCAAAATGTTACCACTGCTTTTAGAACACAAGGAAAAGAGTGTTGTTCTGTTTTCTTTGCTCATGTAACATGAATTAGAATGCTGCCACTACAGAGGAATTTTTTTTAAGTACCAGTATAAATGCGTAGAACCTTTCTGGAAAACAATTGGGCAATCAATATCAAGAACCTTAAAAAATAGTCTATATTCTCAGTCTAAGTAATTTCTCTTTTAATAACATATTGTAAGGAAATAACCTTAGGGATGGCTAAAGATTTATTTAAAATGCTATTCATTATAACTTACTTTATACTAATGGAAAATTAAAAATCTGGGTTGTCTAATAGAGCAATAATTAAAGTAGATATGTTAAAACATTATAGAGTCAATATAAACAACTTTAATAATTTTAATCGTATTACATTACATGCTTAGAGGAATAAGGTTTAGAGAAGACACACAAAATGGCATTTCTAATTTTTGTAAATTCTGTCTTATGGGCATATACTACTACTTTTGTCAGAAAAAGTTATTTTTTCTTTAAACAGTTCTATTTCTGTGATCTGATATTCTCAGTCCAAAGTTTCTAAAATTCTTTGGGCAAAAGAGTCCTATAAATATTTACAGGTAAATTGACTTAAAGTTATGTTGACATGTTATGTTACTTGATCCTGAAATCTGGCACAGAAAAAGAAGTATTTGTCAATCACATAGACAACACCTTTTTTTTTTTTTTTCTGAGTTAAACAGAATCCTTACAAATTAGGCAAAATTTTTATGGAACAAACATTACAAATGCTTCCTTAAGATCTACTAATATGTAGTATGTTGCTAATTCAAGGAAACTTTCAATTAAAAATATTTCTAAAGCAAATGAAGTAGCCTATTAATTGCTGTTTCCGTATGCCAGTAAAAAAGTTTGCCATAGCTTTCCTAAGACTCTTAGTTTCCTGATTTTATTTTTACAAGAAGCAGCTGATTTGTCTTACGCTATTACTGTCTATTACTTCTAGAAGTCTTGAGCAAAGGTGGGAAGCAGCAAATTCTGGCAATCTGCCTAAAGAGAAATCAATGAAACAAATTAATCCTTTGCAGGCTGCAATGACACAGTAATCCATCATTCAGAGCTGCTTTTATACACCAAATCAGAGAGCAGAGGAAAAGAGCCCTGGGGGATATCACAGGCAACAACTTACACCAACACTGGGAAAATACTGAGGAATCAGTTTATTTAAAGAGGATAGATTTCAGTTGATTGCCTATTTCGTCAAATAAAGATTTTTCTTCCACAGTGTGGTGAACCCAAGGGCCAATGACTGTATCTTCAGAATTCCGTACCATCTATGCTGGCTGACATCAATAGGAGATGAATGTTTTTAAATAATTAGCATCGTTAATCAGTATGGTAAAATATATGGGTAAAATAAATATTACTTTGTTGATACAACTACAAAGTGTTATACGCGGTCCTTGTTTTCACCAGAAACTAAGTGTAAATTTACCCACTAATCTACAACTTAACGAATTCCTGGTAAACCATATTTGAGGTACTTCTTCATACATAAAATGTAACCATTTAAGATATATGTTACTTCCTAATGCTGTGTTAAGTTTAAAGACTTAAAATTTTTAATTCAAGCTCTTGTGTAAATTCCAGCAAGCAAGTCAGATTATAAATAAATGACTTATTTTAAAATGATAAATAATTATTTTGTTCAAAATGTAGTTGACAGTGTTGGAAGATAAATGTGGTTTTCTTTTACAAATAAACTTATAATAAATGTATAGCAGTATATTTAAACTGACTATATTTATTTATACTTATACAAAAGCCTATGTATTTAAATTTATTTGTGCTTCTGTAGAAAGTTATGCACCTTACCTAACCATGTCTTACTAGAGTAATGTATTCTAAGTAGAAGTATGTATCCTTGACGAAAACTAATGGCAAGAACTACAAAGTCACAGTGCATTACTACTGTAAATGCATGCATCATATTCATGGTTAAATGTGAGAAGTTAGTAAAAGAAAAGAATTTTCAAGATTATAAACCAAAGAAAACTTGACACAACAGTCCCTGAAATGTTAAAACTCCAGAATATCTAGTCACAGATTCAAAACAGAAAAAGAAGATTAAATAAATGCTAACTAGTCAATTTTTGAGTGGCATGTTTGATTCTGAGGTCCGTGGTCGTATGATCGCAATTCCTGGCCATGCTGATGCATTTTTAACTCAACGCTTGGATCCAGTATTTATTGATTTAATAAGGTTAGAAGAATTACATTGTTGCTGCTACTGATGAACTGTCAGGAATTTAATCTAGTGAAATCTTACAGAGAAATGTTTATTTTAGGGGAGAACAAGAGAGGAACAATAGCCATGTAAATAAATTTAATTCCTTACTACTCTTGACAGTGACAAGAGCAAAACCCTTCTTTTCTAGACTCCTTTGGGCTCCAAACATTTTCTTTGATTAAAGATGTACCAGCTGATTGAGCTTATGGTGAAAAGGTTGCAGGACAGCTTTGTAGGTACACCTTAAAAATTAGGAAAAGCAATGACTGTCTCCCGGTATCCACTCTGGCCTCTCCTCATAGGTTTGAGGTGCACACACACCCACACACTCAACCCTTACCTCGTCACCTAACAAGGTTTCAACGAGCCTGTCAATGATTTCCTCTCTCTGGACCCTAAAATTTCCTACAGCATCATTAGTACACAGGAAGACAGAAGAGAAGGGAGAAAATAGAAAATCAACTTTCTTAAAAGCAATTCAGCCAAGAGAGGCTTTAAGGGCTATGTCAAAGTAAGGAGGTGTTACAAGATCCAGAATCAGAAAGGGGGTTTAAAAAATCCACAAAAGTTGCTGAAACAAACACTTGGGGACTATTAGAAAGCTTTTTGCACTGCTGCACTACCCTGCTCCTGGGCTTATCTCCCCAACCTGGACACCTGGGAAGCATGCTGTGCTTCAGCGTTTCCCTGACTTTGAAGAAATGGAGCGCTGGTGGGGCTGCTGCGGAGGTCAGTAAAACTATGCTAATTGGTGAACCTAATTGCTTCAAGCAGTCCTGCCTCTAAACATGGAGAGAGCACAGTTGATGGAGTCAGTCTGTTCCTAATAAAATGAAGAACCACTGAATTAAATTCCCAAGGAAGGCACTATAAAAGTTTCCACAGTGTAACCAAATGACTTCACCTATGCTATTACCTCTAAGATGACATCTTTGAAAGAAAGCAGACCCCAGTCGGGCTCCACATTCATAAATCGACTGAGCTTAGGCCAGTGAATCTGGATTTATTTAAAAAGGTTTTTTCATTCTTCCAATCAAATGAAGTCATTTTTAATTAGATGCTTTCTGTTAACAATGTCACTCTTCTCCACATTACCTGCTCACACTTGCAGCGCCTCTAGTGCAATATCTGGGGCTCGAGTCCCCTGCAAGCAGTCCTCCCAACAGATTGGCTGGAGGGTGGTATTTCCGTTTCTCAGTCCCTGTCGGAAGGAAGATCCCATTCAGCGGCCTGATGGCGCGGGACATATCAACTCTCTAAATTGAGAGATTACTAAATAATCTCTGGAAACACTCTTAAGATACAGTCTGCCAATATCTTTTTTTATGAACTACACAGCACTTTCTCCGCTGTTCCTGCCTTGCAGATGGGTGTTTTAAAAAGTGCCAAGGGCCACAAAACTCCCACTGACCCTCCAACTTCGTGAAACCCAGTTGCTCCTTAAAATAGAAAATAAGGTGTGAGGGTCCCCAACGGTGCCCCAGGCCTTGCTTCCTACCCCTACCAGCAGCCCACCACCTGAAGAGGACTGGCTGTCCAAGGCAGGGCAAATCGTTAAGCACTCAAAGAGGATAGCAAGGCTCAGCGCTTTAGCCAGCGCGGGTTAAGGGAAGAGGCGAAATGGTGAAGCTGGAAAAAGCGGCTTCGTTCGACGGTGGATCTCTGAACTTTAAAAGATTGGCAGGGACCCGGTCACACTCCCTGGGGCCCATTCCTAAGAGGCTTGCCGCGCCCACCCGAGGGGGCGCCGACCCGAGGGGCGCCAACTGCCCGCGCGGAACCGGGGCGTTGGGCCTGGGGTTCAGGAAGCGTGCGCCACCCCCCGGTCAGGCCTGGCTTCCTTCTTGAATGCCCCCGGCGCAGGCCAGAGGCTTTGTCCCTCCAGCCTGCTCGAGGAGTGGTGGCCTTCTCCGCGGGCGAGAGCACGGCCTCTAGCCTTCCGCAGACGTCTCGGTGCGCAGATAACACGGCCCGGGTCCCTCCGCCGCGCCGGGCACCGCACTTGCGTCGAGCGCCGGGCAGCCAACCCCGCGCGGGAGGCTCCGCGGCCGGATATGGGCCTAGCTTCCGGGAGCCGCTCCCCGCTGAGCCGCGCTTAGGGTCGGAGTTAGCCAGGCCGGGGGAAAGGGGTGGGAGGGGTCACTACAAGGGATCCTAGTCCGCAGAGTGAAAAATTCGTTCGCAAGGGAGCGCCCTTGAGGGGTTAGGGTCGTGAAGAGACACTCGAGAATTAGGGTCCTGGACTGCTGTGGGGCCGGGCCTGGACTGGAGGCAGGTGTTCCCTGCCGCCCTGGGGCCCTGCAGCACCGATGGCCGAGATGATCTCAGGGCTCAGGCGGAGGAGGGGTCCGCCACAGGCACCTTAGGACCCTGGCGGCCCGAAGGCATAGGACCTTCAGGAAAGCCTCGGGGGACCTAGCGCCCGGTCACGATTCCATTCGGGGCGGGACCTTCCCAGCAGGAGTTGCTGGCCAAGGAAAGAGTCTGGACCTGGGACCTTGTCCCTAAGGACCAGACCACGACCTTGGAGCCCAACTCGCAGTCCTTCTCGGCTAGGGATGCGGAGGGGTCGGGAGCTCGACGGCCAAGCGACAGGGAATTCTGAGTTCCTAGAGATCTACAGGAGGCAGAAGCACGACACTAGATGAGATTAGACAGTGACGGCGGAAGGACGGAACCACACGGAGACTGACACACTTTGCGAGTTGGGACTCAATTGCATTTCTTCGAATCCTTGATTCCGAAGTTTCCCCGCCCTCCTAAGCAAGAGCGTTTGGGGAAACTAAGTTCCTTAGAGTCTTTCATCCTTGTTATGTGAGCTCAGGGAGGAAGGCAGACAATAGCTGCAGCCTAAACACCTGCTATCTCTCAATGCAATAAAATACAGACGGTGATTGGAATCGTTTCTCTTTTTGCTTCCAGAGGGAGCTCAAACCTGAAGCATCAAGGTTATCTTTTTCCAAAGGTAAAACAAGAGATTTGCAAAACCTGCTAGGGACACCACAGCCCACATCTAGAGGGGGTTCCCCTTTGCAAACAGAAAAGGCAATCTGATTTTTTTTTTTCATTTTAGTGTTTGTTTGAACCTACGTTCGGTACCTGCGAAGACTAAAACACTTACTTGACCCTCTAGAGACTCAGCTAGAACTGACTGAGCAAAGGGAACTCAGGCAAAGGAAAGGGAAGGTACGGAGGAGAAAACGGTAAGCGGAGGTCTGGATGGGATAGTGCGCGGGGACTCCTCTGACCCGGCGGCGGGACCCAGCTGCCGCGCAGGTAAATCCCAATATGCCTGGCACTGGGGTTCTGGACAGACTTGGTCTATATACGGCCACGTGCTCAGGGCTGCTGTGCTCCAGCTGTGCGTTTCCGGGCGCTTTGCGCGCACGCGCACGTGCACACACACACGGGCGCGTGCCTCTGTCCTGGCGCTGGGGTCTGAGGTTATCCAGGCAGCGGAACCCCCATGTTCCCGCTGGCCACTTGACGATGTCGCTCATACTGGATACGGGGTCTCTCTGGTCAAGGAGGGCGGGCAGACGGAGGCACCCGGCTTGTGGGTATCCAGCCCCACGTAGGGGAAGGGCTCACAGAGGGGCAGAGCCCAGGGAGAAGCGACATGACCCCGGCTCCGTGCTCCTACCCGGCTATAGGCCGGGTCACCTGTCAGTTGGTACTCTCTCAGCTGGCTCCCAGTCCCTCCTCGCTCCCCGCAGCCACGCAACAACGGGCTGTCAGCCCGAGCTGGGCGCCTTGGCGGCTTTCTGGTGCCCCAGCCCTGCGAGCCAGGACTCACCCCACACTGACGCTTCCAGGTACAGTCACCAACAGCGCCAGATCGTTATTCCAGCCTCCAGATCCCTGCCTTTTCCCCCCACCGAGCAAAGACAGGTTGGTGTTTGGGGGTGGTGGTGGTTCTTTTAAAAGTATATTAAAGGATCATTGGCGTCTCCCCGTTAAGTCATTACGCCTTTATCCCCATCAATTAACCACACCTCAGAGGGCTGCTATTAAGAGCTCAAATGAGCTGCAAAAGTAGGTATCCCGTTTCAGGCAGATGTTGTTATCTCCCGCTGAGAGGCGCGGCCGGCGGCGGCGGATCCTCCGCTTCCCGCGACTGCCGGAGTCGCGCTGGACTAGGCTGACCGCGCAGGGCGGCGAGGCTGGAAGGGAGGTCGCCGCCCGACAATGAGCGGGTGCCAGAGGAGCCAGAAGGAGTGAGAAGTGCCCTAGACCCGTGGCCTCAAGCGCCATGCACTTCAAGGGGACGTGTCTCCGGAGTTGTGCCAGGAAGAACACCAAGAACGAGCTGTGCGTTTTTGCGCAGAGAAGTAGTCTTCGCAAGACCGCAGCTCCCTGCCGAAGGCCCAGAAAGGGAGTGCGGGGGAGAGAGCAAACTAGTGAGTTTGGCTGGCAGTGCTCCCCCGACACACCCCACTTTCTCTTCCTGCCACTCCAGATTCCTTCCCGGCAGCAGGCTTCCAGAACCCCTTGTTGGTAAAGGCAAGGTCGTGTGGGGATGCAGGATATGGAATTAGGGAATCCGGGACAGAAACGTAGCATTTAGGACAAAGGGGATTCACTGGGGACTTCCGCGGCCTTTGCCCAGATGTGTCTTTCTCACTCCAGTCACTCCCGATGACTTGGGGCACGACTGTCACACGCAACTGGGAGATCCTGGAAGACGGCGGAAAAACGAACAAGGGGAGATGGCCCTCACTGCAGTGACAGGGTTTTCCTTCAGTCAGTGGCCACAATAAATTTAGCCAAGGCTAAAGGAGATTAATTTCCCAGCATAATCCAATTAAAAGATTTCTAAAGTAATCTTTTGCGAAAATGAAAAGTGCGCGACTAAAGAGGGGACCGGTTTTGATGACAGTGATTTATCGCCTCAGCACAGCACGCACGGGATGGTCTCTCTCCAAGTGATTTGACCAGAGCACTCCGTCCTCGCCTCCTGTCCAAACCTTCCCTTCCTGAAAGACAGCCATCTATCACTCCAACCTGGGCAGGAGAGAATGTGCAAGGGGCTGGGGCGGCTTACAAGCACCATAGACTTTTTTAAGTGCTATTAGATTTATGGTCTCTTTTTCGACGCCCATCCAGAGTAATTAGCACATATGTTCTAAATAGATGATAGTTTTGTGAGCAATAAAGCAATTACCCATCGTTGGAGCTGACAGTTCCTCCAACTAAACTCCAACCAGCAGCTAATTGGAAAAGTCATTTCAGCTCCATTGTCTGCAATTAGTCCTGCTAAACTACTACACCCCAACTAGCTGGTTTGAGGTTAATTTATTCAATGTTGTGTTTGCATGGACAAGCCTTTGCCATGAAGGGACTTGCCTTTTGCCCCTCTGGACTGCGCCCAGGGGCTAGAAGAGCAGATGGGAGTGAGCAGCCAATATCTGGGGGCCGGGATGGCCCCCGGGGGAGGAGGCACCCGACTGGGCCTCAGCTTCAAGGTTAGTTGTCCAGTGGCTGAAAGCCTACAGAGAAAACCATTGTTTCTCCTGCTAGACAGTAACCGGAGAAAACTGCTCAGTTCATGCTACCAAAACCTTTATTTAAAAAAATAGAAATTGTCACCACAGAGAAAGCCACTGTGTTCTCAATTTGCCCCTTGCCCACACATCCAGTCATGACCCTGGGCCACCACACCGTCCCTAAGGAATAAACATAGAGTCAGACCGCCAAAACAGAAAAGTTCTGAGCCCTGAGGGAGTGGGGGACAGGATCCAATTCTGGGAGTGATTCGAGGAAAGAAAAGACAGGAAAGGTCAGGAAGCCCAACCTCTGCCTCAGCCTCTCTGAGTTTAAAACCACTTCCCCCTTGAAAGCGGGGTTTCTCTGTGACTTTCTTTGATTTTTTCCCCTTCCTTTCTTATATTTTTTTCTTCCTTTCTTTCTAAAAGTTAAGCCCAACAGGTCCAGGATTTGTGCACAGTGAGTGGAAAAAATGTGTTAAACGTCTGTTTGACGCCCCACCGGAGCTTCCAAATATCCAGCGGCTGGGATTCTTCTACTTAATTTAATCTTTATTGGACAGGGCGGCTCCTATGCTCCTATTCACTAGGAAACCCGGGGAAACGTATCCGTTGGGGTTCAGAATTGAGGGTGGGAAGGAGAGGAGTTAAAGAGGGATTAATCCTCCCCCACCCAACTTCAAACTTTAGAACTGCAATCGCCTGCAGCCTGGGGGGGTGTCCCCCAAGTCCCAGCCCTGACAGCTCCAGCTCTGGGATCTGGAGCCAGAGGAAGAGAGGTTGGCAGGTTGAGATGGGAACTTGTAGCCCTGGTAACCGTGTATTCCCTTGATGGAATTTTACATTAAAGTGTCCCAAGCTCTGGGAGCAATGAGAATTTTACTTAGAAGAACATGGGGTAGGGAGCATCCACCTCTTAGGTAAAGCCCAGTGCTTTCAGTCCTAGAAATCCAATGTCCTTTTCTGGATTATCATTCATATTAAATGTCCTGGGAGATGTTTTTCTTTTTGAAGTAAATACTATAACAATGCCTAAGGAAGACAACTTGGACATTTTAATCAGCATATGAGACTTATTAATTCCCATCTCAAAAAATTATGATTAATTCCTCAGCTTCAAGAATTTGGAGACATGTGTCTATAGCATGTAAAACTTTTAAACTGCCTAATGTCAGGCTCTTATTTTCCACTATTTATTGTATTTTAACCAATTTAACTCCAAACAAAAAGAAAAAATTGTGGGGAGAAATTGAAAGTAAAGGTCTTGTCTTGCCCCATTACCTCCCACCTGTCACACACTCTCCTCCCCCGAAGAGAAATCCTCCTGTCACTGTGACTTCCAGTTGAAAACAGAAAGGAAATAAGATGACTTCTGGAAAAAGCTGTCCATTGTGTTTTTAATTTTTTTTTTTCGGTACTTAAATATGCCCAGAGAGTGACGGCATGAAAAAGCTGAATGAAGAGTCAGCTGAAAGTATCACCTAGACTTGCTTGTTAGAGAATTCTAAGGTAGACATGTGTGCATACTTACGCGTAAGGGCAAAATAACCCACCTAATCACCTAATCCCATGTATGGGAAATATTTATGTATATATCCATGAACTGAAAAATCTTTAAGTACATGTGTGCAGAGATTCAGTTCTATGAAAGCTCAGCTAGCTGTCCGCATGCATGTATTCACTCCTGGAGTAAAGGCATTTTTGTTGCTCCCATAGTTTCTTTCCATTAAGAGCGATTAGATGATGTCTATTCAAAGTTGCTGATCCAGAGAGAAAATAAGAGTAGATAAAAGGAGATTTCAAGTGACCTCCTCGTCCCTTTCACACCAACCTGAGCCCTAGAATAGCCAAGGATCAACTAACACAAAAGCCCTTTCCTTTCTCTTTTCAGCTTCAGAAGATTTTATGCAGGGGGGTAACAATAAAACATAGAACGATCCCCGAGTTTTGTTAGATCATGCATTTGGAATACTTTATTAACTCCCCCCAAAGATGGGCTAGGTTTATGTTCCACCTTTGAAATGGGTAAATAAAATATACATAGCATAATTGTTTACTGTTCTATTGCTTATATCAGTGTTGTACTATGCTTGTGCTTTTTTTTTTTTTAAACTTTACCTAAACCCCTCTCTCCTCAATGATGGAGGACATTGTAATAAATATATCTTTCCACTGACAGTTTAGACGAAATGTTAGGTTTATTATTTAGATCAACCTTCTGATAGTTATATACCATTGCAGCATGACTGGTAACACCAGCAGATCTGCTGGCTTTTTGAGCCAATACTTTTCCACTAGTTTATCTCATAGGCAGTAAAGAAAGTGACATTAAAGACTTAAACATATTAGAGCAGTCTTTAGTCAGTAAAATATCCAACTCAGATCTACTTCTGATGGGCTAATCCTGTAGTAAAAGAAATAGGTGCTCTGACAGGTAACTATTAAGGGAAATGATTATATAGAGCAGTTGATTTTATTGTCAGGGTACTCCAACAACCTTCAAACTCATTTCAAAACTTCAACTTTCATCCAGACCTAACCCATAGGGAAGAATAGCCATGCAGTTTTATTCTTCACTCAAGCTGGGTATTTAAAATAAATACATTTTGTAACATAAAAGTCTCCAATTATTTCCTTTCTTTCTTTTTGCATAAATGCATTTAGATAGCTAAGACTTGATTTTTATAAAAAGTAAATATTTGGCTCTGGTTTCACTGGTGTGCTGAGAATGATTGTCACTTTTCCTCCTCTAAAAAGGCTTGATTTGCATCCAAAGGTCAGTGCTTGCTCTCCTGCCATCCTTCCTCCTGCTGCTTCTCCTGGGCCCTCTAACTGGGGGCCTAGGCCAAAAGGGGAAGTGCTTCCCTTATCTCTCTTTTTCAAAACACGTGCTTTAAATGACCGGTTTGAGATAGAAAACTAAACTAAGGTATAGCACTTAACTCTGAGCATTTCAACCCAAAGGTGACAAAGAAGAAATGCCTGGGCTACCAGAGCGATAGTAAACACTGGAGTCTGTTGGGTTCACGGTTTGACTACATGTACAGGCTAAGGGTAGGCAGTCCAGCAGAAGCCTGACTCCTAACTTGGCCTGTCCACCTGGTTTTTTGTTGATAAAGGCAGGACTTTTTACAACTGGGCAGCCACAATATAGGCTGGGTTCAGTCCTGGGGGTAAAGATTTCTGAGATAGGCTGGGGTTTAGTTTGTTTGTTTTGGTTTTGTGTTTTAGTAATCACAAAATATTAGATGGGCATTCCTGCGCCTCTCTCCACCCTTTCTTCCAAAAGATCTGTGTGAGACCATTTTAAATACATCTTCAACTATGTCCTTCCTGGCTTTAATCTCATGCCAGGGGAGACTAATTGATTCGGCACCTTTCAAATAAGCTCTTTGGGAAAGGTCTGCAGCAAGATCAGAGGCACTGACCTTTTTCTCAATGATTGCAGGCATGTTCATCTCTCCAGATGGGCTCGATAAAACGGGCTTAGTTCTGTTCTGTGGTCTTGCTAAACAGAATAATACCATTTTTAACGATTTTGAGGTAGGGAAGAGGTAAAAAAGAGAATTTCCTACACATACCTGATCATTTGTAGGGTCCCATGGCTCTTGAACTAGATTTGGAAAATGTTTTTACAAGGTCACTTTTGTTCAGTGTGACTTACCAAAAAGCCAAAATGAATGACTTTCGGGAGACCAAGATATCAATATCAAAAAAACCTATAGAATTAGTGAAAACGGTTCAGCCTCGTGGTAAGAAAGATATGGAGGGAGGGAGTACCTTCACAGGCTAGACAGTCCGCTTAGATCCAGACTCTGGGGTCTGGAACGCAAGTCATCCCTGAATGTGCAGCCAAACCGATCTGTGCTTCTCTTCCTCTCTCACCAGATCACAACAATTTACTGGGTGGCGAGCTGGGAGAGATCAACCTTTGTCTGGTATGTCTTTTAAAACCTGATTAACGCTGAGCTTGATGCTAGCAGCCCGCAAAGGGTACTATAGGCTTACAGCCTAATTCCTTTCCCCAAGCAGAGCGGTACCTTCTCATTGCCTTTTGGGGGAACTACACTAAAGATCTAGTGTGCACTGAACAGGTCTGTGGGGAACAGGAAGGCAGAGGAAGGAAGGGAGGCTCCCGGGAGCCCAGGCCCCGGCGAGGCCCTTAGAGTTCCCAGACCCGCCAAACCGAGAGAGAGAGCCTGGAGAGGGCTGAGCCCCGGTGGGCCTGGCTGGAGGCCTCAAGTAGGATGCTGAGGCAAAAGCCACAGCGGTCTGAGTCCAAGAACCACGTCCAGACTCAGTTTAAGGTTCCGAGGTGAAGGGCCGGGCCTAGAAAGGAGGAAGATCTGAAGAAGAGTGGGTGGGTGAAATAAAAGTGAGCACTGAAACTGCGTTTTCTGCTCCTGCAGCTGAGCGTGCCTGGACAAGTATGTAGGATTTCCCAATTTGGGGATCTAAGTACTCTCGAAAACTGTGATCAGTTTTCTGTTAGGTATCCTACCCCACAACAAAAGATATCATTATTTCCTGGTTGAGTGTGGGTCGCATTAGGCCCAGGACAAGTGTGCCAAGTGGGACCAGTATCAAACGAGAACCTTGAAGATAGAAAGAAAGGGCTTCCCAGGAACTGAGCTGACCTCTCAGTGCCTCTGGGGAAGACATTTTTGCTGGAGGCAGGGCTATGAGCGCAAGTGGGGCGCCCTGTGGGTGTGCCACCGCGGCAGGGGAGCACAGGCTTCCGAAGAGAAACAGCTCTAAGTGCCGCTCAGGCCGGACGAGTTCCAGAGGAGGACAGCGCCCTCCTCGAAAAGACTTGGTTTCTCCCCGCCCCCTCTTGTGACAGAAAGTTGGCACGGATGCCCCGTAGGAGTGCGAGCCGCTCCCCTCCTCCGAAAAGCCGCGGGCTTCCGCTGCTCCGGGCATCACCACCAACAGCTTCCCACTCCCACCCCTGGGACTAGGACAGGGGACTGCACCCTCCCCCTTCCTTCCGGAGGAGCCTGCGGCTTCGCCTGAGGCCTCGCCGGCCCAACTTCTCCCCACCCCCAGGGTCACGCCGGGTCCCAGGGGCCTCTTTCAAGTTTGAAAGCTCGGTGGGGGCACTGAGAGCCCACAGTAAGGATGGGTGGGCGCCGCTGCTCCCGGGCAGGTTCAGCTGTCATCTTGTCTCGCCTTGGCCCTCGCCTACAGGGCCTGACCCCGGGCCAGCACAGCTAGGCAAGACCGCCTCGCTCCCGAGCCCCCCCCCCCACCAGCCTCCTGGTGCGGTCCCTAGCGTCTGCTGCCCCCGCCCCCCGCGCGCACTCTGACGCAAACGCACGCCCCTGCCCGGCACTGAGGAAAGCGCTCTTGTTGGTTTTAATTGAGCCTCTTCCTTTCAACACACCCGCTCTGTCCCCACCCCTGGGAGGCGACCCCCTCCCCGCCCCCAGTCGGCTGGTAGCAGCGCAGGGAGTCTGGTTCTGCTGCTAGGCTGCGAATCCCGGTGCTCTCTCGCCGCCGCCGCAGGTTGTCTGCTCGGGAGAGCAGCTTGATGTCCCTTTTAATCCGCTGACACTATCGCCCACATCAGACAGGCAGCCATCGATCGCGTTACATTAGGGGATGGCGTTACAAACGGCGCCCGCAGGTGGACGGCTGCAGGCAAGCTCGCCAGGTTCTGGTAGCAACCAGGCAAGGCGCGGGCACAAGGGCCAGCCGGGCCGGACTCCGCAGCCGGCTCCACCGCGGGTCGCGCTCGGCACCAGTAGGAACAGCCCGGCCGGTGTTAAACGGGCGGGTCCCCGTCCCCAGCCCAGGCATCCGTTTCCCGCCGTGGGAGAGAGAGGGAATAGCGGGTGGGGGTGGGGGCAGCTTGTTTTGAATGTGGATTGCTGCTCGCCTGGCACGATCCTCCCCTCCAAGGAGGCGCGGCGGCCGCGATCCTCGCCTTCGCGCCACGGCGAGGCAGAGGCCGAGCGAGGGCAACTCCCGAGCAGGCTCCGCGGAAAGTTCTCCTCGTCCCGCCCTGGCTGCCTAGACTCTGCTCTCGGCCTGCGGAGGCCGTGCGAGCCAAGACTGCCTTCCGGCCCTGCCCGTTACCAACCCCAAGTTCAAGAGAAACGATAACCATTGCGTTACTTGCCTGGTGAGGCAGGATTTGGCCGAGTCTCGTTTCTGGTGCCCACGACGCACGGTCCAGGGTCCGAGCGCGGCTGGGCCGGCGGACCTGGCATCCAGTGTGCCTGCGGTGCCCTGGCGCTCGCTGTTGCTTGTCTCCCACTCCCTCCGTCTCTCTCCGCGTTCTCCTTCCCTCACCCTATCTCCCTCTCTCCGCCTGCTGCCTCTGCCCTCGACTGCCTGCCTCTGACTGTATGGGGAGTACGATTTAGAATCTGTACGTAGAAAGATTTTCTTTTCTTTCTTTGCTTTTGGTCTACTTTAATCGTGTTCCTTTCACCTTTTAACTGACCAGAAGATGGAAGCGCGTTTGCGCGTTTATTTGGGCATAAGGGCGAGGGCAAGGAGCCCCTGCCACCCCCAGTCACCTCCTCGCCATCAGCTGCGTACAATGGGCCACCGCTCGCGGAGTGCATTGACAGTTCTCCATTATTCGAGCTGGAGGGGCTGTGGGGCAGACACGGGAAAGCCTTTTATTCTGCTCTTTAAAATCATCGCTCGTCACTAAGCGGTCGCCGACTCCCGACTTGTAGGCTGGAGAGACCGGGAAGCGCAAAACGTCCCCCAAACACGCAGTGCTTCCCAAACCCCTCCCTGGTGAGACTTAAAGTGAGAACGAGTATTAAAAAACAAACCCTACCTCTGTCAATACAGCGTGGCCATTTACTTCCACCTTTACCTGAGGGCATGTTGGCGCTAGGAATGCTCGAGCTGAGACAAACTTTTACGCCCTAGCGAATCGAGGGGCGGGCGGGCGAGCGCTGCTCCCACCCCCGGCGGCGGCAGCGGCGGCTTTGTCACTCCGCACGGCTCCGCGCCCGCCTGAGCCTGCCTAGGGGAGCGATCTCAAAACGAGGGGGGTGCGAGTATGCGATTGGAGAATATGTAACTAATAGAAGTATCATTTTCCCCCAGTACGATCTTTCAAGGAAAAAAAAATCCATTGAAAGAATTTTCAAAGTGCTGTCTTCGTTTGGAGAAAAGGCACAGGCTGCCTGCGGGGAGGGGAGGAGGGACTC